CAATAGCCAAGCTGTGGAATTAGCGTCAGTATCTGACAGCTGATGACTGGATAAAAAAAATGTGCTATATATACACAATGAGGTATTATTCAACCAGAAAGAAGAAAGAAATTATGTCTTTTGCAGGAAATGGTTTGAACTGGAGACCATCATGTTGAACAATAAACCAAGCTCAAAATCCAGATAATCACGTTTCTACTCATGCAGAATCTAGGTCTAAAATGATATAAATAACAGTAATAATGGATTGAGTGTAAAAGGGGTACTGCTGGAAGCGGGGATCAGCAGGAAAGGTGAGGGGAAAAGCAGAGGCTACTGGTAGGTAAAGAGGATCAAAGTATTATTACATATATATGTGTGAAGACAGCCTAATGAAACCTAACAAATATTGTTCTTAAAAGGAGGGGAGGAAGGAAGGATGAGTTAAGGGAATATAATAGAGGAGGAACTTGCTCAAAATATATTGTATGAGCAGGTGGCTCACGCCTGTAATCCCAGCTACTCAGGAGGCAGAGATCAGGAGGATCGCATTCAAAGCTAGCCCAGGCAAATAGTTCACGAGACCCTCTCTTGAAAAAACCCTCATGCACACACAAAAAAAGGGCTAGTGGAGTGGCTCAAGGGGGTAGGCCCTGAGTTCAAACCCTAGTACATGTGTGTGTGTGTGTGTGTGTGTGTGTGTGGTATCTGTATCTATACGTATGTATTTATATATAGTGTGCATCTATGGAACTTTCACATGAAACCCCCTTGTACTATTAATGCATTCTAAATTAAAAAACAAAACCCAGAGCTCTTGATAAATAAATAAATAAATAAATAAATAAATAAAAATAAATAAAAGAATATCTATCTATAATATATATACATATTAAAGGGCTAAAAGGAAAGATGGTCAACATATTAGTTGCTAGGGAAATGCAAGCTAAAATTCTGCAAGATACCATAGAATTATGCTCACTAGAAAAGCAATACTCAAAAAGACAGACAATATCAAGTGTTGGCAAAGATGTGGGGAAAATGAAACCCTCATTCACTTCTGGTAGGAATATAAAATGATACAGCCTCTATGAAAGGTAGTTTGAAAGTTAAACATAAACTTACCATATGATCCTGCAGTTCTTCTCTCAGGAGCCGCCCAAGAGAAATGAACAGACATGAATTTTCATTATTCATAACCTAAGACTGGGAACAATCCAGGTGTCTACCAACTAGTAGATGTAGTATATCCATATAATGAAATAAAATTCAGCAATAAAAAGGAGTGAAGTATTAGCTACATGCCATAACATGAATGAACCTTGAAAATATGCTAAGGGAAGGAAGTCAGACACAAAGACCACAAGTAGTATGATTTATTTATCTCAATTACCCAGAAAAGACACATTTATAGAAAGAAAAACCAGATCATAGGGCTGCAGTGTGAGACTAATGACTGGCCATAAAGTGACTCTAGGGAACTGTTTGGGATGGTAGGAAGGTTCTAAGACTGTGTTGTGGTGGTGTTGCCCACCTCTGCGAACTTACATAAAATCTTCAAATTATAGAGCTGGTGAATTTTATTTCAAAAAGGCACCCTTTTGAAAGGAATTTTTTCACTTTCTTAAATTTTGAGAGATTTTGTAAATCTTGCTGTAACAAGGATCAGTTTGTTAGCATTGTCAAATAAACTCTTGGCTTATGTGTTTAATATTATCTGTCTTATAATAACAGCAACTTTTAAAGAATTACCTACTTACATACATACCTTTGTTTCAGATACACTTTCCAACTCTTTGTGTTTTTCAATTCCAACTGACTGGCTTTTTGTTTACTGTTCATTTTATGTTTGTCTTGTCTTTGGCATACTATTTTTCCAGGATGGTATTAACTTTTAGAAACCACAGCACAGAACAATTTTTATATACTTTTGATGTCTTTTGTTAAGTTCTTTTTTATTTTCTCAAGGAAAATATGAAGTCTTATTTCTAAAATGCAATTTGGTTTTCATATGTGCTTATCTTTCCTTTTAAAACAGAATATGCTTCCCTGGGATCACTCTACGATTACATTAACAGTAATAGAAGTGAAGAGATGGATATGGATCACATTATGACCTGGGCCACAGATGTAGCCAAAGGTAATATTGCTTGGTAGTTCTAATGGAGTTGGTGGGAGAGTTTGCCCCTTGATATGGAGATGTATGTCAGAAAATGTTTATTCTGTGTCTTAGATGTTCTTCTTTTTTCCAAACCAAACATAGTAAGAACTCTGCAATTCACTGTACTGATACCTTAGGTCATTGCCATTCCACTCTCTGAATTCCTTTCCTCTTTTTTCTTTCTTCATTTCTTACCTAGAATCAAGTCCCACAAAAATCAGTAAACTCCAGAGTAGACATTTTTGCCATTTTGTGACGTAATTGATAAGCTCATTGACACATTAAATGGAAAAATCATTATGTACTGTTCTGCAAGTGTCTCCATAATATCTAAAAACATAATTTATTATAGGATTAGTTCTACTCATTTTGTATACATAGTAATATACTAAAAATAGTAACCACTTGCCAGAAACTTTTATTTGTCCTGCTATGTAAAGCAACTCATATTTTATTTTATATTTAATGTAAGCTTGGATGTCACTCTTAGAAATTAAATATTTTTTAATACATGAAATCTCTCAACAAGGTACCTAGTCATTTTCTCCCCATAAATTCCTGCATAGACTAATGCTTTTTAGAGCAATTCAAATTCCATTTATTTTTATCTTTTTTTTCCATTTTCTTAACTGAATAGTTTTGGGTTTTATTTATAACTGTCATGGTTGCTTTGGAAACAACTTGATCTCAGTAATGAATGCTGATAGTTAACATTTGTATTCTAGCAACCTCTAGAAAACAAGTATGTCCATATTTTACTGGGGCCACTAACTCCTTTGCATCTTACTACTCCTTTCTTGACAAACATCTCTTTACAATGCAATAGATAACATTATTTGTCACCCAGTAAGGATAGCAACTCAGCTTTTGCTTTCACTGCAAAGGCAAAGTCACACAGCAGACTTCCAAAAGTAATATTCTTTCCTTTGAAGAATTATCTTGACTGTTTTATTTCATCAACACCTGCCAAATTCTTCAAATAAGGAAAGTAAAAACAAGTTTTTAAGTTTTATGTTAAATGCTGCTTCTGAGTGATCTTTCATTACTTTATAAGAATAATAAAATCTTAAGTTTAAGCTTTGGCTGTCTTAATAAACTTAATTGTGTCTTCATGTATCACTTCTCTGAAAATTTCGTGTTCTTTCAGATATTTTCATATAACAAAGTCACTTCTCTGCAGGTCAGTGTACACAGGGATGGCCTATGGAAGCAAGATGATTTGCTGTTATTAGAAGCTGCCAATAGCATTGTGAAAATACACTTACATAAATGTAAACACACAGGCAGTGCTTTATTTTTACATTCAGGGTGCTTAGCAATTATACCATGTTATGAACTAATGGGTCTTAGGATGGATGGCCAGCAGAGGAATCAACTGACATGGGCCATTCTGCTTCCAGCTGTGCTCTGTCTCAGAGTCCCTGCTTCCCAGCCCACATTACCCCACCCTGTCTACTATGATATCCTGTTTGAGGACAAGTCTCTTGGCTTCAGAATAGCTGTGTCATTCTCTGTAGTTTCTCAAGAGGACTGACACTGTGCATCAGAAGGGCAGGGAAAAGAAAGATCAAGTTAAGTAGTAAACTCAATAGGGTACAGAACAGGGAAAAAGGGAGAATGGGAGTAGATCCCTAAATAGAGTCCAAACCTACAAAGTAATGAAATCCCTATTGCCTGATTGACGAACTGATCTGGAAGGCAAGGGCTAAGGTGTTTGGCCTCAGCTGAGAAGTAATCTGTTACATTTAAAAATCCTTTTCGATGGCCTATGAAAGGAAAAAGAAGTCAATGCTTTAGGAATGACTTCAACTCTCCAGTACAGCTCGATGTAGAAATTAGATTACATAGGAAAGCTTGACTTTTGTTGATTCTGTTTCAAATTCAGCCTATGCAGTTTGACCGTGATTGAAGCTACTGAGGCAATAGTATATTGAGAAATCAAAGAATGAATAATTGATTCTAAATTAGAGCTGACCCATGCATTTTGAATAGGCATTGCTCAACACCATTGCTGTTGAGAGGGTATGTCTTCAAAGCTTAAAAAGATTCTCTTTGTTCTGGATGGGAATAAGAATAGCAGTGGGCCATCTGAAATTGCTGCAAGTCAACCAACAATGCATAAAAGGGACAGTTTAGAGCTCTCAGCCTGGATCCAGCTTCAAAATGGGTACCATTGACTCTAAATATCCCCAAAACTCTCTTCAGTATCAAATCTTTTAAAGGAAAACCTCAGCGTTAAACCTGAGAGGATAGTTTCTTCAGCCTTCTTGATGATTTGCAACAAAAATAAGGGAAATATGGATCTATAAAAACAAATTAGAAACTGCTTTTTCCTATAATAATAGTTAAGTAGGATCTACCTGAAAAATTATTTGGAAATTTGATTCTAAAGTAAGAGAGAGATAACTATGAGACTCAGTCATAAAGACTATTAACTGCCACCCAAGCTGTAGCTATTGAATTTTCAGTTTGAAGTATGTAGAACTTCTATTAAATGAGATTCCCTTTATCCCAGTTATATCTTGCTTAAGATCATTTAAATTACTAATACTTTTCTTAACTTGACTCTTTTCAACGATATTGTTAAGCGGCAAGAGTTTAATTTTTTCGTATTTTCTTTATTCTTTCATAATTCTTCAATATAATAATCAGAATAGAAGAATAATAGATTATTAATAAATTAACCTTTATAAAATTGAACTGTTCTATATACTTTTAAAAAGCCAAACCTAGTTATTAACTTATTTTCATTAACAAAAGAAACCTGTTTGATTTGGTGGAGGGGAGAGGCTATTTCTTCCATTGTTTAGAAAAGAGAATTTGAGATATGGAGAGAGAGGAAATACTCTATAGAAAACATTCTTTTTCTTTATTCTAAAGGGATAGGCAGTACATAAATGCAGAAAGAGTCAAATACTTCTGAGAAGGTGTCCATGAACTATGTCTCTTTAAAGTATAATTTTTAATTTAAAATAATAAAGCTTGTTAGTTTATATGCATCTCATTTACTAGAATATCCTAATTTATATTATAAATATGTTGGAGAGTTTCAGAGTATGTTTAAATATAGATTATGTCAAAGATTGGTTTTTGTGAGAATATTTTGTTACTACTGTGTATTTTCTACCAGAAGATCATAAAGTCCTTTACCAACCATAACTAATTAGCCCTCCAGCTCCATCCTGTCTTCACTCTTGAGGCCTTGTTGGAATGAGCACTGAGAAAATAAACCAAATTACAACTAGGTAACTGCAGCTGTCCAGATGAACTGAATCTGATCTTTGGCAGATGTAGAAAGCACTTGGTAGTGGAATGCTGTTGTCACAGAGCACTTCTTCCAGGAGTTACTGCACTATTTTTCTGCAGACTCCAAAAAATTAAGGTGTCCTTATTAGGTATTATAAGGAGCTAACTCTATCCACAATCAAATTCCATATAAGTTTTACTTAAATAATGTTACTAATATAGACCTGTATCTTGTTTCTGTTTTATATATCATGGATGAATAGAACACGTTGTTAGAAATATCTTTAAGATACTGGGGTGTCACAAGAGAGACGACACAACTCAGAAGTCAACAGGCAAGGCAAAATTTACTTCTGCAGAAGAGTGCGCCACAGAGAAAGAGCAACCAGTAGGGAGTCTGCTGGGGTTTTATCTCTAACCCAGTGCTGCCCCTCCCCTGAATTGGGCAGATTTTGGGTTCACAGTCAGTTGGCTAACTGGAAAGAGGACATTGGGAGGGGGTTTGAAGACAAAGAAGTTTCAAAGCTCAGGGAAGAAATAACTGTTTTAGATTATCAGCTCCAGAACAAGGGCATCTAGTGGAATTTTGTTATCTGAGGACATAACACTTTGTTCTTAATAGAAACTTTTATCATGTTCAGCAAGAGTGCATGAAGCGAGCGTATGAGAAGCAACTTAGCAAGTGTATGGGAATCACTGCTGTGGTTACTGATTAAATTTTTGACAGAAAAGACTCAACCTACATTGATTCTCATGCACATGGATTTAATTTCTGCTGTTGAATCCTTTACACAAATACAAACAGTAATAGTGATATAATGTTGAAAATTTTTTCCTTTTTTTTCTTCTTGTATGAAAAGGAATGCACTATTTACACATGGAGGCTCCCGTCAAGGTCATTCACAGAGATCTCAAGTCAAGAAATGGTAATGTGTTCATGTGTTTTTGTACCTATTTTATTACAAATTTTGTGCATCTATGTATGGAAGTAAGCATCATGCTTTTCATATCTTCTGTAACTTGTCTGAGTCACCATGGATACCATGAAAAACTTTCAACTATTGGTAAATATCAAAGATCTTTAGATTATCTAAAGATGCTTAGTGTTCTATGTCCGAATATAACATAGAGTATGGACATTTGGATTGTTTACATTTTTCCTATGATAAGAAATGTTTAGTTTAATACCTTTCAGTCAAATTTTTCAACATGTCCCTAATTATTTTCTGAAAGAGGTATTTCTGGGTCAAATGTGTAGTCATGTATTTTTAGTCTTCTACTTTAGATTGTTCTCTGTACCAGTAATTTTGACTTTTATTCCTGTTATTTCTGAATTATATGGTGTAAATTTTTTGTGTCACTCATGCCCATATTACCTGGAGTAGTGCCCAACAATGATGGGCATGGCTTTGGCATTTGAAAATTAAATACTTTCTCTTTCTCCTTTCTTTCCTCCTCTACTTCTGTAGTTTATTTATCACCCTGTGTTTTATAATTTGGAGTGTGAGCCTTTTAAAATATCTTGCAGGATTAGACATTACCTTCAAATAGGAATGGTAGCAGTGCTTCTTCCATTACATCATTTCAAAGGTATTGGAGAAAGGCAGTAGGAATATTTAGCCTTAACAGAACTAGCTAAGTAAACATCAGAGTTTGCTACTTTAAAAAACTTTGTCAATTATTTCCACAATTTCTAAACAGTTCTCAGTAGAGAACCATTTATCTTTAGGAAATCTGTAGATTGCTGCAGCTATAGTGACTATTTGTTACTGTTCTGATGCTTTGATGGGTGGTGATGGCAAGTAGAAGGAAAGGACTAGGAACAGGCCATGTACCCCTGTTCATACTCAGGAACATGGAGTGTGTGCCTGATGGGCGGTGGGGGTGGGGAAGACAGGAGGAAGAGAAGTTGCTGGCAGCTGCCGATCATCAGCAGTCATTTGGACACCCCACCGTGACCCTGCTAGATGATTCTGGCTAATTGTCCTGCCGTCTTCTGGAGCATCATGTATCATTTGGCTTTTCTAGACAGAAGCTTCCAGAAACTAAACACTTGTGATATATAGGTGGCTTACAGGAAATTATTAGGAAGTAGTCTAAAATCCAATAGGAAATGTCAAAGTTTATGACTATAAATTTTAGTTCATGCTTGGAATTTCAGAGCATATACACAGCCTTATCCATAGTAGGTACTCAGAAATAGTTGGTAAGTGAATGAATGTATGAATGGATATTGCCTCTGCCTTTAAGAAAATTACTCTTCAATTGGGAGGAAAAACTATACACACCATAAAGAACAATGTTAATGACTTCCTCAGTATCAAATTGGCAGTCTAACAGTAGAACCCAGGTTAAAACTTGGTTCTCCTAACTATGCTCATTTGGTACCTTTTTTACTGGGCAGTACTGCATTTGCATAAAACAAGTATCTTAAAAGCCTTTTTTAATCAGCACCTCTTGGAATTAAGGTTTTGTTTTAATGTTAGCTCCATTTTGCAAAATCCTCAATTCAGTAAATACTTTGACTTTATTTTTTTAAATGTAAAATTAGAAATTTACCATATCAAAGCTAGAAATACTAGGTTATACTTTTTTGAATATAAGACAATTCAAACAAATTAATTATTGTCTGAATTTATCTTTTTAGTTGTTATAGCTGCTGATGGAGTATTGAAGGTAGGACTATTTCTTTTAATTTAAAAACATATTAATTTCAGACTTAGGTTTTCATGATTGATACTGCTCTTATTGAGCAGTAAGTGAAGTTGATTCTGCTTCTTCTTTTCTCAGATCTGCGATTTTGGTGCCTCTCGGTTCCATAACCACACAACACACATGTCTTTGGTTGGAACTTTCCCGTGGATGGCTCCAGAAGTTATCCAGAGTCTCCCTGTCTCTGAAACCTGTGACACATATTCCTATGGTGTGGTGAGTTTGCTTCTCATTTCTTGTTTGCTAAAGGAAATACAAAGAGCAGACAGCTAAAGAAAGATGCCACAGTTTAACCTGGTTTTGTTTGAGACAGGACTGCTGGTTTTGGAGGAATGCCTACAACGGAGCCACAGGGAGAATACTCTCTAATTATCAAAGTGTGTGCTTTGACCACTTCTATGCACTACTTCTAAGAAATAAATTAGGTGGAACCTGAATTAGTGTTGGGCCTAATGTACTCTTACAGAGAGGGCCTTTTTGCTGGGTGGAAATATGACTGTTGAATATATCTGTAATTTGCTGGAAGTATGGATCAGATAAAACCACCAGTTGATCTACCAAGTAAGTCAATTAACAGGAAACTTTGGAGTGTCAACTATTAAACTGCTACATGAGTTTGTAAAATTACAGAAGAAAATGGACTTAGCACAAGAAGGTCTTGCCTATGCCTGCTTCAAGACTTAGAAAATAGTGCTGGCTACTTGAATCATAAATATAAGGTATTACATGAGAATGACAACAGAGCAACATAGACATACAGAACCATGAGGGAGGGGCATCCTCAAGGAAGACAAACCACAGGAAGGAAGCAGTTAAGGAGGAGGGTAGTCAGAAGGAAGAAATTCCATCTACCTTATCAGGGAGAAAGAAGCCAGAGGTAGGGGTAGTTCTTACTGCAGGAAGAATTCATTTGTTGGCCCTCTTTGAAGATAACTTTTCCCTAAAGTGCTATATATCCTTTAAAAAGTCCAAAATAGTATTTGGAGCTTCCTGTCTTTATGCTTTGTCTCCTTCTATACCATGTGTACCAACTACCTCTCTGTTTATACCATCACTTCTTAAAAAGGCTAGTTCCATTATAATGGGAAAAGAAACGGACTACTTTGGGTCCCAGCAGCATGCTCTTCTTCCTGAGCCCCTATATGCTCTTCCTGAGGTGCTCGCTGATGTCACAGAGGAGGTGCATGTGGTCAACATTGTGTTCTTCCTTTAGTCAGTCTGGACATTTACTGCTGGTTTCATTAAGTTTGGGGCTTTTATAGCTGGTTAGCTCTTTCTAAATCATAACACTTCCTATGTACACTAAATTATTGCAGCAAGATAAATTTTGTTGCCAACTGGAAAAAAAATTATTTTACAATTGCAATATATGTTTTTGTCTGAAAGTTAGAATCTCGGGTTGGAGAATGATAGTAACATCAAGCTAAATATCTAATTTCCCTTAATTCTGAGTATTTCTAAGAAGTAAAGAAATACTCAGAATTATTAATATTAATAATACAAATAATTCTCATTGAAAAAATAAGTTCCAGAGAAGAATGGATTCTAAATGTGTCTTTTACATCATGCATTCATCTTCTGGAGATTCTGAAAGTAGGGGATTTGTTGCAATTTAGGCCTTTTTGTACTGGGGCTTTAGCTTGGTAACAGATCACTTGTGTAGTATGTACAAGGTCCTGCATTTGAGCCCAGCACTACAAAACAGAAAAGAAAAAATAAAAGACTTTTTGTGAGATTGTTTTCTCTTATGTAGTTTATGTTCCTTCATTTTTTTAAGGACAATTTTCTTTCTTTTTTTTTTTTTTTTTTTTGTGGGGGGGCGGGTTTTTTTGGGGGGATTTGAACTCGGGGCCTCATGCTTGCTAGGCAAGTGCTCTACCACTTGAGCCACACTTCCAGTCCCAGGAAAAATTTTATTTATTGATTTAGGGACTGCTAGACACCACCTTATGATAATTTGAATTTTATGCACCTGCTTAGTGGCACCAATGTCCCATTGTAGCCTACAGAACAAGAGCCAGCAAATTTTTTTTTATCTAAAGTACCAGCTAGTACATGCCTTTGACTTTGAGGGCACATATTCTTCTTTACTTTGTTTTGTTTTGTTTGTGGGGTGGGGTGGGGTGGGGTAGGCAGTGTGGTTTACAACCTTAAACTTGACAAAGCTCCCTGGGTCCTGCATCACACTGTACTTTGTGGAGCCAAAGAGCTTGGCAAGATAGGTAACATGGCTCATCTGGCCATCAGGTTTGTGGTGATTCAGCAAGACAGTTCTCACTCCGTGTGTGTGTGTGTGTGTGTGTGTGTGTGTGTGTGTTTGTAAAAATATGTTAACACATTTAGATAGTCTGATCTTTAAATTGTTTTGTGCAGTCGTATAACCTTGAAGACTCGGAAGGCTTATTTTTGTACTCTATGCTGTGCTTTTACTTTGAAAATTCTCCCGTCTTGGAATTTCACTCTTAGAATTTCTTACCTAAAGGCATAACCGTGACTTATACATAGAATGAACTTTTGGTCTTAATATTATTTCATCTATGAAAATAAACTCCTTGTCACCTTCTTTCAGAACCTTCTAGTTGCCAGGGACTTTGGTATAAAATGCATACATCTGCTTTTCCTTAGCTGAAGGACAGTCTCAGCACCTGCAACTCTGAACAGGAGCCTTTCCCATGGAAATCGTAGATGGTGAGAGGTGTCTTCTGTTTGCTGAGCTTGAAATCTTTCCTGTGTCTTCACAATCCCTTCCACACTTTCTGTCTTGACGCCCTTCCTACCCATAGTCTGAGCCCACTTTTCTGGAGCTGCAGGTGTTCAGCTAGTTGTGGTAAAAACTTTCACTCAAGTGACTTTGCACCCCGTTCAGCTGAAGAGCCTGAGCGCATCTCTGCAGATTCGGCCTCTTGTCCACTTGTTTACTGACTCTACCTTTACTTGGTTTGGTTTGGTTTTATTGGAACAGAGATTTAACAGATGCTTAATAAATAATTCTGTAAGTAATTTGACATATGGAAGCAAACTCTGCAGCCAGTTGAGCACTTTCAGGGATGCTTTACACTTACACCAGTTGTCACTCAGCAGAGCCTGAGTGCCTGGCCCCATGACTGGCTCAGTGTCAGTTCCATATGCATGCTAGAGTCATCCCTGAACTGGTAGACACAGAAACACCTCCCCAGTGACTTTGAAAAAAGTGTCTACTGTTTGCCTACTTGAAGTGAGAGGTTTGTTCAGAATACAGGTTTGCTCATGCAGAGAGCTTTATTAGCATAAAAGTATGTGCATGCTAATTTGTATTTAATGCGACCCCTCTCATTCTGATTGTTCTAAATAACAGCATTACTGAAAGGAAAAGTACAGGACATACTTTGCAGAATATTTTGGTTTAAACAGTCTCATTTTTTTTTTAATGAAGAAAGTATTGCAGCTGGGCACTGGTGGCTCACACCTGTCATCCTAGCTACTTGGGAGGCTGAGATCAAGAGGATTATGGTTGGAGGCCAGCCTGGGAAAATAGTTCAAGAGATCCCATCTCCAAATTAAAACAAAATGAACTGGAGGTGTGGCTAAACCTACCTTGCAAGCACAAAGCCCTGAGTTCAAATCCTAGTCCCACCAAAAGAAAGCATTGCATGTTCAGAGCAGCTGTGACATTAAAGAGCAGGAAAGAACAGTTGTTATGACTGGGTGATACTAGCTTTAGAAAGTTATGGTAGCCGGGTACTGGTGGCTCACACCTATAATCCTAGCTATTCAGGAGGCAGAGATCAGAAGGATCAAGGTTCAAAGCCAGACTAGGCAAATAGTTCAAAAGACGCTATCAAAAAAACCCTTCACAAAAAAAGGACTGGTGAAGTGGCTCAAGGTGTAGGCCCTGAGTTCAAGCCTCAGCACTGCAAAGAGGGAGGGAGGGAGGGAGAGAGGAAGGAAGGAAGGAAGGAAAGAAGGAAGGAAGGAAGGAAGGAAAGAAATTTATGGTACACAAACTTTAACAGTGATACCTCGGGAAATAGTTACTTAAAACTTGAAAGGGAGGAGCATAGCTGAGCTTATTTGTCACTACGAGCATCTGTTTGCATAAAACATTCCACAGTTCACTAAGAGCTTATTCTGCTGATTGAAACCTCTCCCTTACACACAACAGGCACACACAGTTGAATAAGGACATAAAAAAGATTTGTCCCATTGTGAAGCTTACCCCAAAACTCTACTATGCTTTTGCTTTTTGCTTTTCTGGGTGATTCTTTTTTCAAACTTGTAAGAATTTAGTCTCTAAACAGTGCCAGCCTCTTCAGCTTGATAAACCTGTGTTGCTTCCTAGCACAACAAGACTAACTAGCCATGGACTGCCTTAAAATAAACATGTCTCCAAGGCCAGAAATGATCTCATGACCCTTGCTTCTAAGCAGGTGCAGGCACTGTTCCCCTCTGTACTTTATAAAAAGGAGATTTTTGTACACTCTTATGATAACTTCTTTTGAAGGAGCAAGTCAGAAAGTATTTAGTATGTAATCTACAAGAGAGAGAGAGAGAGAAGAAAAGACTTCATGTGAACAAAAATCATTGAAAGAATAAGGCTTCTGAGAACACAAGGCCTTGCTACCCTCTAAAAACGAAGCTAGCCTAATGACAATGTAGAAAGGATTACCTTCCTGGGAGCTTCTCAGCCAAAACCAGCTTTGAAAGCAGCTGGCTTAGGAGACAGCCTCGCTGCTGCTGCTACTTGTCTGTGAGCCTTGTTTCAGAACCAACGGGCTCAGGTAATGACTTTCCATTGTTGCTAAGAGAAAAGGCAGGAGAAGTACACAGCCTCATCCAAGTTTCTGTTCTGTAAACTGAAAATAGAAATTTTCCTTGTGAGCACAGTTTCACTGCGAGGACATCTCAATATATGATGAGTTGGAAAATATTTTTAAGGTGAAAGATCACAATAATGTTTGGCTGCAACCTCCTAGCTAGTATTTTAAGGCACTGTTTAATGCATTTTTAGACTGCTGAGTGACTTCCTCAACAAAGTTACTTTTAATGCCAAATGTCATTTTGTTGAATGAAGAAAAAGCTATCCTATCTCATTCCACCTACTTTTTGGTACATTTCCAGATCTGGAGAATTAATAAAGGGAAATCATGAGATGGGCTGATACTGGAATCAAACTGAGGATTTTTGGTTTTAGAACCTGGAGGTCAAATGCCTCTGTCCCTGGTGTTATATCTATCAAATGCCTCTCTCTGCCACTGTTATAACTCCTTAGAGACACAGAGAGGGAGTGAAATGAAACCTTCATTTTTTCAGGGTTGGAACTCTTTGAGTCATATAACTTAGATCTTATAGATTTAGAAATAGTGAAGAATAAACATTTTTCTGATATAATTTCCTTAAATTCTTGGAGTTGCGTTTTACCTTGCAAAATCTAGACTGTGTGTGTGTGTGTGTGTGTGTGTGTGTGTGTGTGTGTGTGTACACGTACTTGCCCGCCTAAGTAAGAAAGGAGGAGGCATGAGGCTGCTTATCTGAACATTTTGGGGTCTGGAGCATCTGATTTTTCTTGAGGCTGATTCCTTATTTCCGTTCTCCTTAGGAATGCCAAATCTATTCCTTTACTTGCTTCCCATCTGCTTTTCCCTCCCATCCCCAGCACCAGTGAATTGCAATTGCAACAAATTGAGAGGCTTCATTTCCTGCTCAGCCCTCTTTCCCCTTCCCCTACACACATACGTGTCACGGTGATTACATACCTGTGCCTGCTCTCACTCTGCCCTTCCTTACAGCCACCACTGCAGTTGTCCCCTTCTGGGATGCTCCTTACCTTTTCCTAATCACTTGTGTGATTCAAATAGAATTATTCAGTAGCTCTTCTGAAGAAGTATCTTACACACTTCATTAAAAGCCCAAAGAGACCTCGTGGATTTTTTTCCTCTTGTTTGAGAAGCATCTGCCAATTTCCCTGATTTTCCTGCTAATTATCTTTGTATTATCCAGCACTCATTTTGCGTGTTATGCCTGCACACTGGCTGAGGAAATAGTGCTGTACAGTTAAAGGTTTATAGGGCTTATCCGAATAGAGTGCATGTCCTCTACCAACATTCTTAATTGGAAATAGACTTTGCAAGCCTGGTGCCAGTGATTCACGCCTGTAATCCTAGCTACTTCTGAGGCTGAGATCAGGAGGATCGCAGTTCGAAGCCAGCCCGGGCAAGTAGTTTATGAGACCCTCCCATCTCCCAAAAATAACCAGAGCAAAATGAACTGGAGGTGTGGCTCAAGTGATAAAGAGTGCCTGCTCTGCAAGTGCAAAGCCCTGAGTTCAAACCCAGTCCCACCAAAAAAGGGAGGGAGGGAACGAGGGAGAAAGAGAAAAAAAAAAGAGACAGAGAGAGAAAGGAAGGAAGGAAGGGGGAAGGAAAGAAGAGAAAAGAAAGAGGCTTTGTGTTTCAAACTAGGGAAATCTAAACCTAAATTGCTGAGTTCTCCCCACTGCCGCCATGCCTTCGGTATGGCCGGTCATACTCTCTCTAGCACTGTGGTTTCCCTTTCTCTAGAATTACATGGGCTTAAAGCTTGACTGTCATAGTGAGATAGCAAGTTCATATTCTGGCTCTGCCACTTGGTAGCTCAGTGCCTTTGGCAAGTTTATGTAACTTTCCTAGGCCCTAGTTTCCTCACCTGTAGAATAAGGATGATATCTATCTGATGGGATTGATACTGACTGTGATAACATGCAAAGGGTACCTGGAGCATAATCACTCAATAAATAATGGTGATTGTTGTGATTATGACTGTCTTTGAGAGAATTGTTTTAGCAATTTGCTAAGTATTGTAAATTTTGCATGTCAGCTGGGTGTGGTGCTATAAGCCCAGCAGCACTTGGGAGGCTGAGGCAACAGGATCGATCACAAGTTTGAGGCCAGTCTAGGCCACATAGTAAAACCTTGTCTCAGAAAAAAAATTTTCTTGGATGTATGTTTGTATAAATAGAGTAACTGAGTATCCAAATCTCCATTACTCAGTGTTTAAAGAGAACTCAAGTCAGCAGTGTTTCTAGCATATATTTCCTTTCTTTGGGTGTTCCAGTTCAGATTTATTAACCATACTGATCTTCAGGACTACACAGAAGTGAATACACACACAGGCTCACATATACACAGTCAGCTTATATTATATTAAATGTTTGTTACATTTTGAAATATAGTTTAATAAATTATATTTAGGTACATGAAAATGTATCCCTTAGACTGACTTTTTTTGAGGGACGTTTGTCTAAAACACAAAACCTAAATGTAGTAATTTTGCAAATATCTACCCTTGTGGATAGATGGGTTTGCCAGTGACTTGGATTAGAGGCTCAGTTTTTTATTTTGTTTATTTATTATTGATGAGGTCATTAATGAAACTTTAAAAATATTGTTGAATTCCTAGCTATTTTCTTACAGAGAAATGTACCAGAGATTGAAGGTAGAAAGACTATTAACTGACAAGATACAAAATCTGATTTGTGGGAGTACATGAAAATTTCTAACTCCTAAGGTATCAAGTTCAATCACTTTGGCCCATTGTTACCATAAATGTTAAGTCTGGCTCTAGATGTCCTAACTTCTAAAACAAGTTTTTTTTCTTTATAAAAATAAAGTGCATAATATATGGAAGACATTCTGTACATGAGTATATATATTTTGTCCAAGTTTCCATTGGTGGGGTTGGTTATGTCTGATAATTGGATACAATTAAACGCTAGATAAAATTTCAGTAATATACCAAAAATATAAAGTACTAGAATAAAAATTCCACTTTCTTTTTGTTCCAGGTTCTCTGGGAGATGCTAACAAGGGAGGTCCCCTTTAAAGGTTTGGAAGGATTACAAGTAGCTTGGCTTGTAGTGGAAAAAAACGAGGTAAGACTACGTTTCTCCATTCAGGTACATAGATCAGAAAACAGTATTGGGGTTTTGCAAAAGACTTTTTCATCTTCTTCAAATTGAAAGTAAGTTCACGCTTATGGAAAGATTAGCAGTAGGAGCTAACACAAAGGGTCAAAGTGATGTTATTCCTCATGAATGGACCCTTTACATCTAATTGTTGCAGCTTCACGTCGTGATGCTGTAGATCAAAAATTGTACAAGTACTGTACTAGTTTCTCAGTCTCAATTGTAAAACCTAGGGGTTTGTTCTTAGTGATGAAAGAAGCCATCGCGTCCAAGGTAGGGGAACAGTTTAACTCCATCTCCCGCGTTTAGGACATCTTTTTTACTGGCCGGGAGTTGATATATCTGTAAGAGACCTTCAGCTACTTCAACTTACCTCTCCCAGCAGGAGTCACTATAGTACAAGAAACTGTCGCTTAGATGAGAATTTCAAAAATAAAAGAAGAAAAAATAGTTTCAAAAAAGGGAAAAATTACAGTTTTGCCACCTACGTTGAACGCTACATTGAAGATGAGCTCCTCACTGGAATTGGCGAGGCAGTGGCATAGCTGTTCGCTTCCTCATGCAGAGCCTTTCCATTTCAAAAGAACTTCAGTGGCGTAAACACCGCTTGTGCTGGGTCCCCAGCCTCGCTTTTCTTCTTCCCACAAATTGAGGCTTTCAGTTAGTTGGACCTATGAGCCTACATCAGAGAACATGGCACATTCATATCAAAGAGAGCAACTACATTTTGAAAGGTTTAAAATTGTGAGTGAAACGCACAGCCATGGAAATCCTCAGCATAAGGATGAAGTGTCCACTATCAAGGTATTATGAGCACTCAGATAACCTGATGGAAACGTGTGCTTGTCTTTGTAAGGGGAAACAACTTTATTTCACAAAACTTCCTTATTTTCATATCTTACCTGTGCCCTCCAAAAGGCAAATATATAAAGATGCTCCTTTTATAGCTTTAACAGAATTAGATTGGTCTGCCCCCCATGTGAGTGCAGGAACAAGCTAGGTTAATCAAAAAAGGTGCTACTGACTAGAAGCCAAGTTTCCGTCTCTTAGATCACATAATCCAGAGCTACCTGACTAATTTGTCCACCTGATTCATCAGGAATGGCTGAAATATTGATGATGGCTGAACTTGATGGGAGCAAGCTGCCAATTTAAGAAATGGAAAGGAGTTCTGTGTAAGAATTTCCCTTACTCATTGTTTCACAGGAGCTACTTGGTTTTAATTAGATGTACTGGTCATTACTCGTGTGCTGTTAACTAGAACCTCATACACAGGACAACTATTTCTAGGCTATAAGGACCCATTTGTTTCTGTTCTGTTTCTTCTGTCAGTGAGATGATTAGATGTCTGGTTCAGGGTTTACAAATGAAGTGAGGAGAATTATTGACCTGTTGACTGGAGCAGAGCCCTCTGTGTTATCTTCCCCTCTATGCTGCACCAAGGTAAACCAACAGAAAGAGTTGTTCACACTAACTAGCCCCTCGAAACATGAATAAGACAGAATAATTAATATTTTAAAGCGATATTTCAGCTCAAGGATGGTAGAATAGGTATAAATTGCAAATAGTTTTTAAACATTGGATATTAAAAGCTGAAGAGAAATGAACTTTGCTGCTGCCTGAGGGGTGGGAATCACCTACAACAACCTTCAGGACTTCTTTAACATCACACACAAGGAAGTACTCTCCCTCCCAGAGCTGCTGTGGCAAGTGCACTGTTCATCTGTGGTATGTTCCTGGTGATCTACTCATAATTCATGAAGATTGCTCAAAGACCTCTCCTACTTTGTTTATTAACTAAAGTAGTAAGTTGAAAGAACAGAGGTTCTATCAGCTTTCTAGGGAACTTAAATAAGATTGGGTATCAGAGAGATATTTTTCTGCTGGTCTCATTTTGCACAGTACTTATTTGTCAAAAATATGTAAATTAAATTTAAATGCAATTTCCTGTGTCATCATTCAAGAAAGTGTCTACATTTCACCTCTTAAATAGAGGCACTCATTTCCAAAACAAATTCTGTTGACATGGCAGTAAGGTAATTCCCAAGAATTTATTTTACTTAGTAACAAAAGTAAAACTTCAAGAAATATAACTCACAAAACCCCTTCAACTTCTAATTATTTTATTTATCTTTACTGTTGAATACCTTCAGTTATTGGATTGAAAAAGGTAGCTGTCTTTTTAATGGTTCCCCATTTAAATAAAAAATGGTATTTATAAACTGGCAGGGAAATTTTTAAATGTGATCTAGCCACCCTGTCTGTAATGTCTATATCCAGTTTGGGGGTTCCCTTTTATTTTAAATTTTTTAAAAAAATAATTACAAACTCACAGAATCTATAAAAATATTACAAAGAATCCTGTGTGCTCTTCACTCAGTTTCCTTCTCCAGTTTACATACCTGTGGTACAGTGTCCAAACCAGGAAATTAAAATCACAATTCTTTAGTTCACCGTTTAGGACTGCTTTTTGAATCTAAAAGAAAATCAATACTATCTAAAAATTTTATCTGAACATCTTTGCATCTGAACCCTTAATAATGAAATAAAGCCTTTAAGCAATATTGCTAATATTAAATCCTGTTAAAACTGGATTCATAAAGCCCTGCTAAACTTTACAAAGTAAACAGTGAGCCTTTTTAGATGGCATGAAATTAAAAGGGCATTACTAAAAAATATTTTTATTTTTTCCCCATTTTTATTGTTGTGACAATTCTGATAGCTTTACATTGTACATTGGCCAGATCACCCCTCCATATAAGAGATAGGATTGTTTGCTTTTGTTATTTCTATGAAGTGATATTAGTGGGCATTCAGAATGTTCTGAAAGCATAATTTCTATTTTTATAAATACTTAGATTCTTATATAAAATGTATTTGGTTCTAAGTAGCAAATCTGTTTAATATAGATATCTTCATAAAACTTAATCCACTATTCTTTTTCTTTCTTTTTTTTGGCAGCACTGGGGTTTGAACTTAGGGTCTCACACTTGCTAGGCAGGTGCTCTTGCCACTTGAGCTACTCCACCAGCTCTTTGTTGTAATGGGTTTTTTCAAGATAGGGTCTCTCAAACTATTTGCCCAGGGCTCTGGTTTCCAACCTCGATCCTCCTGATCTCTTTCTTCCTGAGTAGCTAGGATGATAGGCGTAAGCCACAGGCACCTGGCAATCTACTAATCTTGACTGTAGGCTAGAAAGATAAAAACTTGACTTAAAAAGTTATTTTATACCTTATGTAGAAAATGGTGCAAGAAGTAATACGATTTTTCTAAAATGCCATGCCTAATTTAGTGACTGGGAAAAGTATGAAACTTCTATTTTAAAGTATTTTAAGTTTTAAGTAGCATTACAAACCTGGTGCTAAGATCTGGTTATTTCAGAATGTTTTTAATGCATTAAGAATGTCTAGTTATGTAATCAGGACTTAAATACTTTGAATTCTATTTTAAAGTATATTTAATGCACTAGAATAATCCCTTACATAAAGCATCAAAGTCTAGATTTAACTGACATTTGACCATGTCACATTAGTTAAAGTGATTGTGTTTCTTTGTGCAATTTCTCAAATGTTGTGTCTTAAAAAGTTTTTCAATATGAAAAGGTAATAGAAATGATTATATTCTGCTAGTTTACATTTCAGTTCATGGAAAAATGTTGAGACAAGGTTGTAGTGAAGTGTTACCCTTTCTGAAAACTCATTATGGTTGAAGAATAAATTGCAGAAGTACAATTTATTAGCTCCCACCTCCCAATCATCTTATATTTTAAAAAGTAACACTTTATTCTTCTTTACATCTTCATCAAAAGACTTGCAGTTCACATTATAGTAAAATAATAGTACAGCTTAATACATTTTGTTCTATTCTATGAGATCACAAGACTAGACATTTAATAGTGTTTGGCTTAGCATTTAAGTTGGAGAGGGTTGTTTTATTTTTTTAACTTTATTTTGTTTCCATTAAGATTATCTGTAATTCCAAACATAAATTACCAGTTTTCTTGCTAAGACAACTATATTTCTAGTTTTATACATTGCCTCCTCCAAATCTAGCCAAGTTCAGTTTTAAGTTTGTGTTTACTAGTGAGTAAATATTTGTAACACTTCATAGCCTAGCAGTCCTCAACTCCATCACTTCAGTGCTCTCCCTCCCTCACACCCCATGCGAGGGATGCAGCCCAGGGCTAGTGTTATACTGCTGAGCTACATCCCCAACCCCCAGTGTTTTGTTTTTTTTTAACACCTGTGCTAGCACCCCTTACTCCCCTGAAAGGAAATTCAGAGATACACACTTGCTGCACATACTATACTTTAAGTGAATATAACCCTGTGACAAAGGCTGAACAAGTAAAATATGTAAGGCAATGCACAGATGCTCAGGCGCGACCACACTACAGGAGGTAATGAGACAGTTGCAGTGCTTGCACCTGTGGATGAATAGAATTCAGCAGCTGCAAATGCAGCCTGATAAACTTGGGTTGTATTTAGGACTCCAGTACCCCAAAAGCAGCGCTATTATTGGTGGCAGTCTTCAAAAGAAAAGTTATGAATAATGTAAAAATCTGCCTTTGATTTATATTATTCAGTGGTTGCATTCTTAGAAGGTTTGGTGTGTTTTGAAACTGTGTTTGAAAAAAATACTTGGTGTTTATTTGTAAATCAGTTCGACTCTAGACCCAGAAAAACTGAAACCTCATTATGTGTTTATGTTGCTTACACGAATGCACTTGGAGCATTTAAAATTTGGTAGGCTACAAGGCAGTTTTAATCATGTAGGACTTTATGGTATATTGAAGGCTATCTGCACTCATTTATTTTTGTGTGGTGGGAACTGAATCCAGGGCCTCACATGCTAGGGCAGTGCTCTACCACTGAGCTGCAACCCCAACTCCTCTAATCTTTAAAACGAAAATTCCTCCTTAAGACAGGGGTATGCCATGTTCTATTAAGAACCACCAGTGTAGAATGTTAGAATAGGGTTGATCCTCACATGATAATTTGTATTATATCAGGTCCTTTACAGCATAAGGGGGTAACCAAAAACAAAGCCATAATGAGTCATATGTTCAGAATGCCTTACTTCCCGAGGAGAAAATGCAGAGTACTTTCAGATTATCTCTGTGATCTTCTGTGTTGAAGCAGTTTTCACAGTGGTACGCCTATTGCCAAAACTGGTTTCCTAGTTACCTGGCCTGTTTGCAGATACTGTGAGTTGCCTATGAAAACAATGTGAGAGAATTAGTTTTACATGTAGTGTTTAAGTTCCAACTTGCCCCTCTCCTACTGTAGTTTCTTTTCCACCTAATTTATGTTTTGTTGAGTTTGTTATGCTGAACCTGACCTCTCTGACCACTAGAATTCCTCTTTGGAGAAGAAGTATGAGTCCTTAGATATTAGATATTCTACATCTAAATATAACTTCTCCCCTGTTGTATATTGATCCATGGAAGCTTTAAGTTTCATGTCTTATGCATGCTCCTAAATTAACTCTTCTATGACCCTTCAAGTAGTATTTGCTTATCTTCATAAGTAAATCATCGTGTTTTCCTCCTCTCTGTTGTAGAGACTAACCATTCCAAGCAGCTGCCCAAGAAGTTTTGCAGAGCTGTTACATCAGTGTTGGGAAGCTGATGCCAAGGTATTGTTTTGTTGTTTCTCAGAATTCTGAAGTTTCACTTATTTGATTTTGAGTTTTTAAAACTTGAGGTAGCAAAATGTTAGCAAAGCTGGACTGCTCTTCCTGTGGGCCTCAGGCTGACTGTGAAAGGCCCTCTGTTGGCAACTGTTTATCTCCACCTCTAGAGACTCAGCATTAACTCCTCTTTTACTCACTCTTTAGCATTGGTGACTCTGGAAAAATAATTTGGTTCTTTTGGTTTTAATCTTCATCAACCTTTTATGTTCTAAAAAATGGTAAACTCATGGTACTTCCATGCCAGGCACTTTTCTAAGCATTTTATGTGTGTTACTTCATTTATTCCTTAGTCTCTTTGAGACAGGTACTGCTATTCTCTCATCTTACAGGTGAAGGCTTACAAAGGTTGAGTAATGAGTCAAGCCCAAACAGTTAGGACATGGTGGGGCTGGACATGAACCCAAGTCATCTGACATGACTCCCTGCTCTTAACCTCTACTCTCTATTGCCTTTCTAACCACGGAGCAGGCAAATGTAGTACTTCTACAGAATCTTGGTGTGTGCTCCCTGTCCAGTTCCTGGGATCTTTTTAAGCTATCACAATAGAGTTGGAAAAATTCCAAAATAGGCTTTGTGTGGTTATCACATCTGAACATGAATAGCCCACTTCCTTTCCCTGCAAAGAAAAGATCATTTTAAAAAGTTCTCAAAAACATACAGAAATATTTACAGATAAAATGATAGGCTAGTCTTGGGTTTGCTTCAGTTAAGGTGAAGGAAAATGGATGACAGTATCAATTAAGCAGGACTGACCATGCTAACTTTTGAAGCTCAGTGATAGATATGGAGGTCCATTATATTGTTCTCTCTACTTTTGTGTATATTTGGAATTTTCCATAATAGAAAATTAAAAAATAAAAAAGGCTCTCACCTCAAACATTAGGATATAAAAGAGCAATTACACTCCAAAAAGGGATGAAAATTTATAGTTCAGATTTGTCCAGTTTTTCTTGGAAAGGGAAGTATTACCACTAACCTTTGAAATAGAGGCCTACAATAAAAAGGCTAAAAACATGGAATTCTTCCTTAATTTACACCTAGCTCCAGTTTGACCCCAAGAAGAATGAGCGATGACCACATATCACCTGTTCTTCTACAACACGCTTGCTTACAGGGACTAACTGAGGAACAGGTAGCGGGTATGTGGACTGTGCTAGCATAGTGCAGATTTCATGTGGGTGAGGGCCAATATGCAACCCCTCCACCCCACACATCCTGCTGTGTCCCCCAGCCATGGGCTTTCTGCCTCTGCCCTGCTGACCTACAGCTGCTTTTGTTCCTACTCTTCCAACTTTCTTAGCCTTTTTTCAAATCCTGTGGGCTCAAGTACATACAGTACTTAAAGAATGTAACATGTTTTGAAACTATGTCAGTATTTTCACTTAGGGCTGTTACTATTTTTAGTAGTACTCTTTGACAAAGTTGCATGTGTTCTGAATGATCTGCCCTACCCTTGAGTAGGTCCTATTATTTTCAGTGCATAATTTGCAGTGTGAAGATTTGTAAGCATTAGGAGAAATGTATACCTTGCAACTAATCCAGTATAAACTATAAGCAGATATTTGCAAACTTGTTTTAAAGTATTTCATACTTTTCCCACTCCTACCAGTTTTATGTCCATTGTAACACATACAGTGATTTTGGTAGGATTTTTCTTTCTGATAATTAAGTAGAATTTTTTCCTGAAATTATTTGCATTAAGTTAGATTAATGCAACTAGATCTCTATAGTTCTAATTATATTTCAGAATGCAAAGCAAGTTTTTAATATCTTAATTAGAAATTGGGTACTATATTAATTAAAATTCTAAGAATGTATATTAATGGTACACTGACTCAATGATAGTATAAACATCTCCCAGAAGATTAGGCCCAGTGTTAAAGCTAAGATGTTATCATTTCATTAACAAGTAACGAGTGGACTTTTCTTTAGGACCAAAAGAATCTTGTGTTCCAGCTAACTGAAGTATAAAGAAGGTTTCAAATTGAGTTTTGTGTCTTAAACTAGTATCTCTTTATTCTGGTGAAGCTCCTGCATGCCCTGTATTGTATGTGACCGTACAGCTGGCTTCAACTCCTGTTCCCACCCTCTCGTGACTCATCTTCCAGACGCACCCTTTCCACCCTCATTCTCTGAACACGTTCTCTTCCTTCTTGTCTTTCTCCCTGGATATTTCATCGAAACTTCCCGCATTACTCTGCTGGCCCCAGGCCAGACTTACAGTCCTTTTCCAAACCACAGTCTGGGCTACTGCCCTACCTTGTACCGTGTTATTTCTTTAATACTTTTTCCTAGTGAATGGATTGCAGACTCTGTGAGGGACTAGCCAGCTCCTGTGTGCATTTCCCTGTAGCACTTTGCATCATTAAAAAGTAGATGCCCCATTTATTGTTGCCTGCAGAAGCCAGACCATAGTAAATTTCCTAAGATGCACATTTTAGTTCTTTGGACAGAAATACGTAGCAATTCAACCAGAGGTTGGTGTCAGTCATACGCACATTCGGAGGGCAATACTTGGTTAAAGTATGCTATTTTTTTTTTCAGTCTGTAGACTTTAGGTTAAAATATTTAGCCCACCTATAGGCCCAGTGTTCCTTTGGAGTGAGGAAATTAAGTTGGTATTAGGTAAATGTCAGGTCATTCTACTGGTTTATACTGGTTACTCAAAATACTTTATTAAAAAAATAAGGAAGAAAGGAAAGGTATTGGCTTAAATCTTAAAATGACATTTCTAAATAAGGAAAAAGAATAGTAGAGCCATGAGTTTGATAGGAAATAGTATCTTCCCTTTCTATGATAAAAGCTGTGAAAGGTTTAAAACCATAACCCCAGATTCTATAACTAGCTTCCCATATCATGATGAACAACAGTTTATCCTTTTCTGAACCAGTTGTCGTATGTATTAAATGGAGGTGACAAATAAAGAAATAGAATGTGTAGATGCTTAATAAATGGTCTTAGTCGTGATTTTTCAAAATAAGCAATCTCTATATAATATCTAAAGGATCCTAAGCCCCCTCAGAAGAATGTCTATAAGATCCTAGACCAAGTGTTGTTCTCTGTAACCATAATACTTAAAAATATTACTGTAAAATTCCACACTGTTGTTGCCTGGGAGTTGGAGGCCAGGGATTTTCTGTGTTGCATGGGCTGGCCTTGAGCTCCTGGGCTCCAGTAGTCCTCCTGCCTCAACCTCCCAAGTAGCCAAACTATAGGCAAGCACTGCTGTGCCCAGCTTTGCTGCTTTTTAAATTTTCATTCTAACTATAAAATTAAGAATTTTCTAGGGATGTTTGTCATCCAGTTACAAAAGAGTTTCACTTTATTTCAAGAATGATTAATGTAGGGAAAATATTCTTTAAAAATTCACTAGCTCCTCCCACTGCTTTTCCTTGCAAAAGGAAAATCCTGTATTTGTTATGTAATTAGTTCTTGTGCAAACAATTAAAAATTTTTTTCTTTTAAAAACTGACACATGATGGAAGAAATTAATATGGGAACAAAGTGTAAGAACAGAGTACTTTCAAGTTTCCTACTTAAGGCATTTTTTCTCTTTGTTCACCAGTAACATTAAACTGCTTATGCTCTTTTTTTAAACAGACACACACATGCACACACACTCTTCTGTGTGCACACACTCACACACACAAGTGTGTCCGCTATTCAAAAAGAACAATAATAACAGAACTCAATAAATATCCCAGTTTTATATTTGTAAGAAGTGCAAAGAATTGCTTTTCTTCATCATGTAAGAAGCTCCTGAGAGCAAGCCACCTCAGCATTGCTCCTTCTTGTTTTTATGCTCCTAAATTAAAATGCATGTTCTAATTGCTGTAACTGTAATTTGTTGGGAAATGGAATAATTACGAGGCATGCTGAAGAAAGAATGTGCGTCATCCTTTTGTTATCTCTCTCCATTTTTGCTTTCATCTTTTGTCTCAACCTTGGCTAGAGTCTAGAGATGACTAGTATGGTTCGTGCTTGCTAAAGAAATGCACTTCATCACCACACTTTCAGTTTTTACCACACAGTACCTTGCAGTGTCCCAGCACCACAGCTAGCTCTCAAGTGAAGTAAACATTGAAAACTATAAAGTTAGGGCTTTAAAATTGGTTTGTTTTTGTTTCTGACCAACTGACTTAGGAACTTTTATCAGTTCTGGTAGGTTGATAAGTAGGTTTTTCTCTGCAGCATCTTACCAGACATTGCAAAAGTTGGAAGAACTTGACAGTGAATACTAGCATGTCCAACCTGTGTGCCTTTCCAATAAATCTGTGCCAGCTTTATTACATGGCATGTTTTTAGTGACTTACCCTTTTCCTTTTAGGAGTCCTTAATCATACTTCAAAGAGAGGATTAGTACTCTCCTTACCTAGAGAAAAGTACTAATTATCCCAACTATAGGCCACATGATACAAAAACTACATCTAAGTCTATTCTTATGAATAGTTAATTGCAAATAAATAATGTGGTTCCCAAAACCTGAGTGATCTGATGTTTGTAAAACAATTAAATGAGAACATTGTACCATGTTTTCTTTGGTTGTGATGAGTTGAGGTTATTCCTGTGCTGTGGGTGTCCACATTTTCTCCCTTCTTGAGTCCACCACTGATTCCTTTCTTCTCTTCCTCAGAAACGGCCATCGTTCAAGCAAATCATTTCAATTCTGGAGTCCATGTCGAATGACACGAACCTTCCTGACCAGTGTAACTCATTCCTGCACAACAAGGCTGAGTGGAGGTGGGTTGCCCTGAGGCACAGTCCCAGCCCCTGGCTTCCAAGATGCTTCACTAGCCTCAGTTGCCTCAGTGGGGAATAGGACCAGACACACCTTGATGGCAGTCCTGATTTCTAACATAGTTTGGGGTGGGGGGAGAGACACAAACAAACAAACAAAAAACCCCACATTTAAAAAAAAGATTTAGGTAAGTCCTGTATTGCATATGTAAGCAAGGGAGAGTTTCTCCAAGCTTACTGCCTTAGTGGGTGGAAAGAGTATTGAAAAATCTTCTGAGACAAAAGATGGCTTCCAGACATTTCTCTGTATACACTTTGTGTTTGGAAGCTTTGGCCTCTGTCCAGTAAGAAATAAAAATTGTGTTAGCCCTGAAATTTGCACAGTGCTCTATCTGTAGTGCAGAGGGTAGGGAGACTATGAAAACACTTTTAAAATAAAACTTTGGGCATTATAAATCCTATTAAAACTTGTTAAGTAGAAAACAAACTTAGGAAGGAGAGAATTGTATGAGTGGTGAAAGTAAACCCAGGATGACACAGTTGAGCCAGGTCACATGATGCAGGAATATAAATGGCATGTTTGGGAGGTGACATTATTCCTTCCCTGACTCAGCAGAGACTTGAAGTAACTTCATCCAGGCTCCTGATGGCGGCTGGTAAGGTAATGTGACACGTTACGCCCTCTGCTGATATAAAATGAATACTACATGCACTTTGAAAATCATGGAGCTGTTTACTCCTATTATTACACATTTCTTTGTGCTTTCTGTTAGATTGATGTTTTACAAGGACCTTATATATAATCTACCTACTTAGGGCCATTTAATTTAATATTTTTTGTTCAGGGGTATAAAATGAATGTAATGAGCACAAGTCTAGGTATGAGGGACTTTTTTCTGGGCTAAAATAAACAAAACAAAACATGGAAGTAATGTTTCCTATAGTAGCAGATCAACGCACATCTAATCAGATCTCCCCCACTTTAAAATCCATATATGGGTTCCAATTTCTCTTAAGCCCAAGATGGAAATACTTAAGACCCTCTACTCCAGCCTCACTAGCCTCTTCTTAAGGGCATCATTATGCTCTCAGTCCCTGGATAGGGACATATTTCTCCCGCACTCAGGATCTCTGCAAGTACACTGTCCTCTGTATAGCCATCCTGTGCCAACTGCACCCCATCCCCACCCCAACTCCTATTGGACATTCTGGTGTCCGCTGAGCTAGCACATCTGCATGGGAATGTCCCTTGCCCCAGGCCAGCACATTCCACCTGTGTGCTTTGTGCTTCTTCCTTATTTAATGTGTCTCCCTGGCTGAAATGTTGAAGGAGCAGACACTTTCTCTTCACCATTTTCCCCAGCATCTGGAATGTACTTTGAACACAGTACTTCCTCAATATGCTCAGTAAATATGTAGAGAGGGAGGGAAGAAAACACCACAGTGGGAGTAATACATGGTACGAGAGAAGGTAAGTGTTAGTTAATGTATTCTCCATGATAGAAGCACTGCTTCTGTTCACTCACTCAGCTATTCCTTGAGCTGCTGCTTCACGAATGGCTGGTGCTGCTCCAGGTACTGGGTCACAGAGAAGAGCACAACTGTCCCCAGGCACACGGTGCTCTCCAGTGGGAATGTCCAATGTTACAAGTAACTGTTCAGTTACAGAAAAATGGATATCTGAGAGCATAAACCATGAAATCTGATCTAGTCTGGAGATGTAATAAAGGGATTTGTAGAGGAAATGCTATTTGAGCTGTTAACCAAAGGATTAGTAGGATTTTAATACTAGCATTAATATGCTTGACATAGGGAGCTTTTTAAAGGATACCAACAAAACCAAACAAGGTAAAATTGGTAAATTTTCTGTATAAAAATTTAAAGCCTAATTCATATGGCCTAAAACAATACATCATAAATAAGTTTCCAGGAGAAATGACACGCTGTTACAGCTTTTCTTCCTCCTGTATGATAGATCAGTACTTCTCAAACATTTTGGTCTCAGGACTCCATTACAGTCTTAAAAACCACTGAACTTTTATTTAAATGAGTCAGTTCTGTCTGTACTTACCACATTCAAAAATATAACTGAGAAAAATTAAATATGGATTCGTTGATTTATTTAAAAAAAAAATGAAGACTGCTTCTACACTTAGCCTGTGGCTTTCACATACCGTGAAGCCTCTGGACATTCTGTATACTCATGAATGAATGATAGTAGAAAAGGCAAATTCTGTCTCAGTGCTATTTTGAAAACCAGGTGGACATCAAAAAATCCTCTGACAATGTCTCGAGGGCCCCAGACCCCACACTGAAAACACTCTGACAGTCAGAGTCATTGTTTTTAAAATAACATTTTAACTAAAATAACGTACTAAAGAATGTGAAAAGGCACTTCATAAAAGAAGTCTAATGATTAATAAATAAATGAAAATTATGCAACCTCACTTAACAATCAAATAAATACAAGAGACTATAATTCATTTATTAGACTGGCAAAATTTCATATTATGAAAATACCCGGTTCTGGTGGGAAACACTAGCTTTCTGCAGTTAGATGTCCTATGTTCATATCTTTGTCCCAGAAATCCTATCACTGCCATTTTATTCCTAAGAAAGCAAATGGGAAAGCTGTGCGAGAACTGAATGGGCACCTGTTCAGCCAAGCTTTGTTTAGAATACTGCAAAACTACCAATGGGGTAAAGTAAAAGGAGAATGTTTTTTAAATGATGTCTCCATACACAGAGTAATGCAGAAATACTCATACCTACACACACTGACTTTCAGATGGAAGCTGTGATCTAGTTTGTTTAGAATAATTCTATTTTTTGTGAAATAAATGCACATTAATGTGTATATGTAGATGCACATGGAAAAAGTATCAAAAATCAGGCAATATCACTGTGTAATGGTATTGAAGCGTGTTTTCTATTTGTATATCTTTATTTTTTTACTTTTTCCACGTTAAACTCGATTAGTTGAATGATAAATTTAATTTTTAAATTACTTCAAGGTGAAAGCCAGGCATTGTTGTTCATGCCTAATCAGCCCAGCTACTCTTGAAGTTGAAGCTGAGGGATCTTAAGTTCAGGCCCATCCTGGGCAACATAGCAAAATCACATCTCTAAAACAAATTAAATGAAACAATAATAATAATAATAATAAAACTAGCTACCTAGATTTGGTGGCACACACCTGTAAACCTAGTACTTGGGAGGCTGAGCAGGAAGTTTGAGTCCAGCCTGGGCTACATAGCCCCAGGGTTCAAAACAAAACAAACCAACCTAACTACAACCAGGTAGGATTACAACCATACCTATAATCCTAGCTACTCAGAAGGCAGAGATCAGTAGGATCATGGTTTGAAATCAGCCTAGGCAAATAGTTTTCAAGACCCTATCTTGAAAATTCCCAACAAAAAAAAAAGGGCTGGTGGAGTGGCTCAAGTGGCAGAGTGCCTGCCAAGCAAGCATGAGGCCCAGAGTTCAAACCCCAGTACTGCCAAAAATTTTTTTAAAAAACTTCAGTGGGAAAAATGAGGGGAACAAACTTGATAATAAAGAATGGGGAGGAGGTAAATAGAGCGATGTGTTTTAGTAAAAGGCATACAGTTGCCTAGGGGCTCTTTCAGGAGCTGTCAGTGATGCTCTCCAAGCTGGAGAGACACACACATCAAACTACAGTTTGAGAAACAGCAGGGCTGGTGTAACTGCACTTGACAATTGGTTAAACACAGGGGGAATAACATCAATTATAATATTCAATAAACACAGTTACTGTGTTTGTTGTGTGAAGTACAGATGCTTGTACTTCATTTGGATTATCTTTCTAATACCCATAGCAACTTTAATTATATCACAGATGAAAAAACTGAATCCTAGGCAGGTTGGATTTCTTGCCCAAGATCACACTGCACTGATGGAGTGTGTAAGGGAACCTAGGTTCTCTGGTATACAGGCCTGCTCTGGCACGCATGCTGTGTAGTGCTGTTATTAGACTGTGGCCATTGGTCATGCCATCTCCCTGTCAACAGGTGGTATTTGTTTAACTAGATACCTTTTTAGCTAAGAAACACATTGCCGAGCATGGTCATTTTAGATTATCGTTAAGGCCAAAAGACTGTCTTACTCAACATGCCAAGTGTCAAAAAAAATAGTGTTTTTATAAGATCATCTGGATATTTCAAAGGACACCACATTCACATTACCCCTTGCTTCCCCCCAACTTTTGTCAGTTGCCTAAAATCATGTGCCCAAGGTCCAAAGAATGTTTTAACAAATGAGAGTCCGAGTGAAGCTTGAGTCTGGTCTTCTGGTGCTGTTTCTCACAGATGATGGGTTTCTGGTAGAACTTTCCCGGAACATAGACCAGGTAGAACATCTGTTTTTAGAAAAGTCAGGGATCCTGAAAATTCTTTCTAAAACTAGATGATTAAAAGCCACATAAACTGTGTTCTTCCCTTTGACCTAATAAATGCTAGGAAAGAAATCTAGTGTCATCATTTCCTGTTCATCTTCAGTTTGACTCTCCTCCTGCAGACTTGTTAGAAGTAATGACTGTGACATCAGAAGCAGAATGCAATGTTGATCCTGTTCTCAATTCTCACTAACCCGGTGATTACCTACAAACGTGTAGTGCTCTGCACCCAGTGAGCCGCGTGAGGTTGGGATGCAACTTTCAGATTACATCTCTTGGCAAAACACTTTGTTGGTTGTGTTTTTCCTTCATGACCAAAATACTGTCACCACAACATGTCTTACTGAAAGCAAAAAGCAGAGATCCAAAAAAAAAAAAAAAAAATCTTTACAATTTGGATATTAGCACAAATCAGGTAATAAATAATACCAAATTTAGTATACTTATGTTTATTTATCTTGTAATACATATAGTATATTGCTATTTTTTTTTGTAGTACTGGGGCTTTAACTCGGGGCCTACACCTTAATCCACACCACCAGCCCTTTTTTTTTTTTTCCCAGGATGGTTTGTTTTGAAATAGGGTCTCCCACACTGTTTGCCAGGGCTGGCTTTGATCTGCAATCCTCCTGATCTCTGCCTTCTAAGTAGCTAGGATTACAGGCGTGAGCCACCAGTGATCAACAGTATATTGCTATTTTTGCAAATTGATCTTTTATTTCAAAGTAAGTTTCTGTCTAATAAAAGAAGAAAATTACAGTTCATTGGCTCTTCTTAGCACAGGGAAAATCGATACTAGTTGAAGTCAACCTTGGTTGAATTTGGTTTAAGAGAAAACTGAGTTTCATCAGCCAAGACACATTTAAATGATATCCTTAGAACAGTAAGGTTATATAAAGGCATCTGATGCAGACTGATACGCCAACAAAAAAAGGAACAGCAGTGAGAGTGGTGTCTTTATGTGTTCTCCAGTTTGTGTCAGATCCTGGGGCACAGCGGGGAGCAGTGCTGGGAAGGTGGGCCTGAGAGAGACTGAGGGAGCAAATCTTCCTAGTCAGTGTTTGTTTCTGTGTCACAACTCTCAGCTTACTTAACTGTTGCTCTGTTTTCCAGAAGGGCTCAAAATTGCAGTGAGCTCCCAGAGCTAAGATGAGGCCTTACAGAATGCTTTAGCTATTTCCCTGATCAAATAAAAAGAACATCAGCAAGATCTATCTCGTTGGTGGGAGAGTTGGGACAGGCATGGCAGAGGTGTCACACAGATGAGTAGCTCTGTGACTTCCTTGCCATTCTCTGACCCTCTCACTGCCTCAAGATGGCTCACTTGCTTTTTGTTACAAAATTTTGTCCACATTGATTTTTTTCCCCTCAGTTCTCAATTTGAAAAATAAAAAAAAAACTTAACAATAGGCATATTGCTTGAGATTAAATTTGTATTGTATGATAGTCATGATTCTGAAAGATTGCTGTCTTAAGTGCCTTTTTATAGAAACTAAACTGTGACTCGACTATCCTTTTGTGCTTTGTCACGTGGTGCCAGTGAAAGGGACAGTGTTGATACTTATGTGTGGCACAGCAATGCTTTTTATGCTTTCCTGCCTTGAAGAACTTTTCAGACAAGCAGGGGAATGAAGTCTTGGTCCAAATGCAGACTCACCTCAAAGCTGTTCCTTGGGTTGAGCTTTTCCAGTTAGTACCTAGAACCTTCTTGTTTTCATTCATTCAGTTCTCATCTCTAAGAGTATTAGAATAAGACATCCACTTACTCTGAGTTTCCCTGGAAATGTAGAGGTAGAATTTGGTCACCATATATTCATTAACTTAGATCTGGGGACTTCTACCTTCCACCTCAAAGTCTCAGCTGTGATGATGTGGTCTGTAAGGCAGGATTGCCTAGGTTCCTGGAAGCAGCTGTTGGTAGCATTCAGCAACCAGTTGACAAAACCCTTCAGAAATAACAGGGGTTAAGTGCCTTAAGACTCCTGACACTTCTTCCTTCAGGTTTTCCCTTCCCTCTATGTCTCCCCCTAAACCCCTCTCATTCATTCCTTATTGGGGCTCACTTACAAGCTCTTCAGGAACTTAGGGAAAATAACTCCCAGTTCTCAGAGCATAAATTTAGACATTAACCTTGTGACAGCCCTCCCTGCACGAGAAAAAGCTGTGTCCAGCCATCTCATCAGTTCCAGTTTCTGTGAAGGACAGGTTTCTACTAGGCATTTTATTCCAAGTGAGGTTAGCTGGCCCAAAGACTAGGGAGAGAACTTCCTTTAAAAATTATTAGAGTTTAGGACTGATGGAGTGGCTCAAGTGATAGAGCACCTACCTACCAAGCATGAGGCCCTGAGTTCAAGCCCCAGTACCACCAAAAAATATATGTGTGTGTGTATTAGAGTTTAAAATCACCTCAGAGTATATCTGGCCCATGGTGTCCCATGCTTGCCAGATTGTAAATTACCCAGATCTTTTGTTAAATAGTGGATATTCCTAGGCCCTTCTCAGCCTTCTGAATACGCACAAGCTCCAAGGAAGGCTCCTGGGAATTTGTATTTTATTTTGTTGTTGTGGAGCCCTGATACAATCACAACCCTTTGCAACCAAAGAACCTGAGTCAGGTTAATCAGTTGACTACTTGGGTTGCTCACCCACTGGATAGACTGACATGCTTTCTGAGTCACTTGCTGGTGGCATGATAGTAGTCACCTAACCTGAGTGTGTCGTTTTCCCATCTGTCATACATTTCACTATGGAAATGAGCTGAGCTACTTCGTAGTGGTGCTTTGTAAACTGAAGGAGCTAGGTGAATGCCAGTACTTACTAAATGGCCAACTGTGGACACCACCCCGTAGCTTATGCTGAGCTCCAGTGACTCTTCAATGCTTGGTTGAAATACTTTGAACTTGTTTTTGTAAACTAGAAACTATCTGTTTATTTTTAAGGCGATGAATGATTCCTTCTTCTCTGGTGGTTTCCTGGCAGATTTCACAGCACCCTGTAGCATTCCACTGTTCCTTCAGTAGGGTTGAGACTTAAACCAGTTATCTCTGTGCAGGTGCGAAATTGAGGCAACTCTTGAGAGGCTAAAGAAACTAGAACGTGATCTCAGCTTTAAAGAGCAGGAACTCAAAGAACGGGAAAGACGGTTAAAGATGTGGGAGCAAAAACTGACAGAGCAGTCCAACACCCCGGTGAGTACCTCCCCCGCCGGCTCCCCACGTGCAGCCCTTAGGAAATGCCTGGCATGACAGCCCTTCCTCCAGCGTCTGCCGCCCCTTTCCTGCATTGTACCTGGGGATTAAAGGCCTACATTTGTAGCAAGGAGTATAAATTACCAAAATGCCAGAACTGTAGAAGAAAACGCCTCACTTATTTCTGGCTCTTCCCTTAAGAACTGTTATTCTGTCAGTATTTATATATTAGAATTAAAAAACAAAATCTAATATATTTTCATAACATCTTTTAGTTTTAGACACAGAGCATGTGTCTAAATAGTGATTAATTCCTTATGGTCCATCAGCAATGAATAACTGTAATTCCAGGACTTTGATACGTCAGAACTTCAGCGTGTTTTCCTTCTGACATTGAGCTAGCCTGATGACATGCAAATGACAAACATTAGTGCTCTTTACTCCATTTGGTGTTATAGTCATGGTCAGCAAAAGATTGGAACTAGACTTCTCTTGGGACAAGCTTCCAGGATGTTCTACATCTAGGAAGACTTTTGGTTTTTTCCAAGTCTTATATTTAGAGAAACAAAAATTCTTTTTAAGGACTTTGCTATGTATATACTAATCTTGAGCTTTTATATGTTAAAGTCTATTCAGATTCCAGCATTTTTCCCTATAAGTGACTTATTTGGGGGGGAAAAAAAGCATACATTCATAATTTGGTTTCCAGGGTTTTTAATGGGTAAGATAGTCCACTTAAAATCACAGAAGTAATGGTAGAGTAAACATAGCTTATTGATAATTATACAAAAAAGATTACTTAAATGCCCTCCATTCTGAGATCTTCCAAAAGCTTCGATGATGATTCTTAATCTCTATTACGAAGCCAGTGCCCAGTTGAAAAGTATTTTCTAGTATCTAAAAAATAAAATAGTTTGTCTCCTCTTCCAACGTGTATGGAGAAGCAACCTGATATCCAAAAAGGAGGATACAATGAAGTTAAATGTTTATCAGATTTAACTTTCTCAAAAATGACTTTGGAAATCCAGAAGATCTCAAAATAAGAATTGAATTGCTATATATGACTGTCGTGGGACATTAAAAAGGGACCTCATTTTATAAGTTCTGTGAATTTAACTTAGCTCTTGAGTAAAAGAAGTGGAGGGGTATTTCCTGTCTAAATTGGTGTCAGCGGGCAGACTCAGGGAGTGTTAACCAGGGGTCTACACAGGAGGGAACCCTGCTTCTCTGAGGCTCTTGCCCCTACGGCATGTCTTCTGAAGTCTGAGAATGTTTTTTGCTTTGTTTTTTAAGTGCATTGAAATCTTGAGTTATAAAACACTGCATGGCTTGACTCTTTCTAAATGTAGTATTGTAAGAAAAAACTTTAAACCACCTAGTAGAGTATGTTTTAGAGCCTTTCTTTGGTTTGTTGGCATCAGTTTTGCTAAGAAATTATGGGCTGCCTTGCACACATTATCGCTATTGGTAGCATAGTTATGTAATAAATAATAAAACGCTGTGAGTACTCAGTAGGTTGTATGCTTGCATTTTAACTCCAGAAAAGTTTCTGTAAAGGCACTGCTCTGAGGGCTACCAGCTAACAATGGACCGCACGAAGCACGCGCTCAGTGAGATTGTCCCTTCTTTTACTTACCAAGCCTAGGTTTCCTTCCTTTATACTACTCGCTTTTAATGTCTCCTCTGCCTAGAGCTGGTATTTCTGAAGGAAAGAAAGTTTATGCTCAGGTATTTTATAAGTAGGTGTTTTCTTTTATCCTCATTTCAGTTTCTAGTTGGCTTTAAATGAGATTACTGAGAGAAATGTAAAATCTTTTAAAAAGAAAGTGGGCTAGAGGCTATAGGTAGCTTCATCATAATTATAAAAGCCTAACTTCATTAAGATTTTATTATTAAATTGAGTTCAGAAACAATTTTCTTATCTACAGATAAAATGTTTGAGATGAGTTCTGTATACATAAATAAGGAGAATTTTAAAAAAATTATTATAGCTTGCTGTAAGATTTTTAGGAGTAAAACCTTATTTTGGAGATACTCATGGAGCTGTTTAATATCTAACATAATGTGAGGAAGGACCTGTACAATAACAAAATAAATAAGCAACAAAGAGCTCCTGGGAGCATCTAGCAACTCAAAACAAACTTAAGAAGTTGAAAAGGGTGACTGTAGAGGAAATGAGAGCCCGTTTCCAATGTTTAAGATCTGAAACAATTTTTTTCTTTCATATACTTGGCACTTGCTAGCTGAATTATATGAAGTTATTATAGAACTCACAATTTCTTAATAGAATGAGTTGATTTAATAAAACAAAACTCAGCTCCAGCTTTAATTTAAAACCTAGGAAGTTAATACTTAATATTAGTTACCTTTACACCCAGAAGGTAAAGATCATCCCAGAGGTATATTACTTGTATACTACCATAAATTTACCCATAATTTGCTTATTTCTGAAAAGAAGAGATAATAATATATTTTTTGTCCTAATAGTTTTGCTCCTGAAGTGTTTATGACCACCCATTTATGGAAATCAGCTGGCTATTCAGAATAATTACATAAGGTAGAAAATAACTATTTGACACCAGTGTGAGGAAGACAACACACAGAAAAAAGTTCAATTAAAAGAAAACCTGGATATTAGAGGGTAGAGAAAGGTAACAATCTAAATTAATACTAATTAATGCTTCCCCCAATTTTCACATGTGTTTACATAGGTATATATGACTTAAAAGTTAGACACAGAATCTAGAATTTGTCCACAAGTGAATTATGTAGTAATTTGAATAAACTGTAACACATTAGATCTGGCTGTAATAAACAGTCAATGAAAGTAAGTAAATTCTGGACTCATTTTCAGTACGCAATCAGAATACTAATCCAGAGAAAGAGGCAGGGTTACCCAGATTTCCCCAGGACTGCATTGACAGCTGAACTGTTTTCATACCTCTCTGAGCGTTTCTTCCTTGGCACAGGGGTTCTTAATTTTTACCTGAGATTTAATTTCTGCTTAATTTCTTCTTCTTTTTTCATTAATATAATGGTTAATTAAATGTTTCTGTGTGGAAGTAGAATTGGGAAAAATTAAGAGAAATCCTAAAAATGATTTTGTTTTAAGCAAAATGAGGGCTTAAAACTTGCACCTTCCTGTCCATTTGAAATGTGGCTTGTGGTGGTGCTTTGCAAACTTTTGGTTGTGATTTACTCTGTCATTCATAAATTATGGCAAATATGCTAGAGCCAAATCTGCCATTGAATAAGTTCTCACATAATTCCGTACATTTGTGTATTTCACTAATCATTTACCTCCTGTGTAGTACCAACTAATTTTGTGTGGTATCTATTCCCCTTATTTAAATTGGTCCTAATTTCTGTTTTTCCTTCTGTCCTTTCTTTCCCTTTGATAGCTTCTCTTGCCTCTTGCTGCAAGAATGTCTGAGGAGTCTTACTTTGAATCTAAAACAGAGGAGTCAAACAGTGCAGAGATGTCATGTCAGATCACAGCAGCAAGTAACGGGGAGGGCCACGGCCTGAACCCGGGCCTGCAGGCCATGGTGCTCATGGGTTTTGGGGATATCTTCTCCATGAACAAAGCAGGCGCTGTGCTGCATTCTGGGATGCAGATAAACATGCAAGCCAAGCAGAATTCTTCCAGAACCACCTCTAGGAGAAGGGGGAAGAAAGTCAACATGGCCCTGGGTTTCAGTGATTTTGACTTGTCAGAAGCTGACGATGATGATGATGATGATGATGACGGTGAGGAGGAGGATGACATGGATAATAATAGTGAATGAAAGCAGAAAGCAAGTAATAAAATTGAAAATGTTCAGAAAAAAACAAAAGAAACTTGTTATCTCAGTCTGTACAAAAGCAGTAAGGAGGCAGAAAGCCAAACACTGTTCTTTTAGGTTGATCCCATTTACATGACAGTAATTTTCTATCAGTTTTATTTTTAATTTGTTTTTGCTTTCAGAAAAGCAGGGTTGAGGGGTAAGCCAAAAAGGCATATTTATGAATCAGCAAACATGGTGCCTGATTATAGAAATTTGTGATTGTATACACAATATAGTAATTTTAACTAATGACATTCTGGCTTTTTATTTTTTAATGAATATTTTATAGTTTGTGATTGACTTTATTTTATTCCCCTTATTCAGTTGGTTTAGAAAACGTACATTTTGAACAAGCACTCTTCACTCCTAATTCTTTTTTGACACTTGATTCTTCTGTAACATTCTACATTTTTTTCTTGTGATGATACATTGTAATGGCAGAAATGATTGATAGTGACTATAAAATCCAGCCACAAAAATACTGAAATGAAAGAAGGTTATAACGAAACGCTCCTTCAGAAATATCTAACTGCCAAGAATTTTCAACACTAAACAGCACAGCTACTCAAAGTAAAACCTGAGAGGTGTTCTCAGTAGTGCATTCAGAGGAGGAATACTCCAATGTGAGTCTGACAGTAGATGTGGTAGACTTGCATACCCCTGGTAGCCCTGGAAACATTGTAACACAGCCCACTGAAGTCTAATGTTTAGCTTGTACTCATAGTCTAGGCAGAGAAAGGCCTGGGCCTAACGGGTGCCTCCAGGGATGCACCTGCCTGCTGAGTGAGCTGTGCTCTTTATGTTCATCATGGTCACTCTGCCTGGCTGCTCATGTCTGTGTTCTCCAGAGGGGCATAGCAATCCTGAATTTCAAGTATATGTACAGATAGCTTAAAGAGGAAATTAAATATTATAAAAGCAATGACATTCTGAAGGAACCTGACAATGTCAAATGTAGCTTTCCCAAAGTTGTCCTTTTGTTTTTAACCCAGCTCAGTAATGCTGGTGTTTCAGTGAAAGAGACCCAGGTGCTGTTCTGAAGACCTGGATACCCAGAGAGATTCTTAGAATGCTATCACATTTGTCAAAGCTTGTTTAAAATATAGAACACTATCTTAAAAATTGTAATTAGATGAAGAAAGGCAAAGGAACAAAGAGTTTTTTTCAGTCTAAATCAGAAAGCAGTGTCGTTCGTTTGGCTGTTAAACTAAAGTACTTTTGGTGGTTCTTTATTGAAAGTTTTAAGGGAGGATGTCATCCTAGATGTTATCTAATATTATTTTTTAGTATATTTGAACATAAAAAGTCTTTTGGAATTTGAAATATGATGTGCTTCTAATCCCCACTGAGAACTGAAAAATACCACCAAATGATCAGATTGCTCTTCTGGCTTTATATGGGGAGAAATAACTAGAAGAATGTTCTTGGTGTCTACTTGCTGTGCAGTCTTGGGTACCTTATTTAATGTCTGTGAGTCTGTTTGCTCATTGTTAACATGGGAATAATGATAATCTACTTCAAAAGGAATATCATGAGGATCAAAAGAAGTAAAATGTGTGACACACTTCGCACGGTACAAGGCCTGTCGTAAACGGCCAGTTAACACCAGCTACCATTAACTGTGCCAGTTAAAAGACACTGAAAAATAAGTGGTTTCAGTAAGCTTCTTGAAAACTAAACTATTAGTTGCAAGTTATAGTTGCTTAGCAATATCAAATGAAACTAAAAGTGGGTAGCTTTCAGAGAAGATAAGAGGACATCCTTAGCATGTAACAGATTTCACTCCCTTGCTGTCTGAAAACTCTGTACTCTGACCAGGTGCACCTGGTCTGAAGTATTTGCAGACTATGTGCCGCCCACAGATTGAGTAAGCATAGAGCAAGTAAACGTTTGCACTACGACATGGGTCCCCCTCATGCCCATTCTGCTGTAATTTTCTGAGCACACATAGATATACATGTGTGCGGGTGCACATGGAAAGCCTGTCTATGCTCGGACACAGAACAGAGAATCTTGGAGTGGAGCAACAGGGACACCTTGCAACTCCTGCCTTCCCAGAATGCTCTGGGGACCTGAAAGAGCAGAAGGAGTATGGTCTTAAAGCCTCTTGCACATCTTCCCAGGTAAAGATGAAATTCATTCATTTGACAAATATCCACTAAACCCCTTGTCTGTGCCAGATTCTGTTCTAGAGAGCAATAGGTGAAAATCCTTGCACTGGTGGAGCTTGCATGCTAGTGAACAGGGATCAATAGTCAATAGAACGACATGCCTCATGTTATATGTTAACATTTGCTAAGTGCTTGCTAAAAAATGAAGCAAGGAGGGAGGAGGTCTTAAAAGTGTGGTCAGGAAAGGCCCCTGATAGGTGATGTTGAACAAAGCTAGGAAAGGTGAGGAGATCTGTGGGTGTCAGGATCTGTGCACGTCAACCACACCTTCCACTTTACAATAATCAAGAGAAGTCTAGAATGCCTAACCGGAATGAAACTGACATCGTCTCTTAATTTACATACAAATCCATATGGATTACATATAAAGGTTTGGTGCATTACAAGCAACCAAATAGGGCCAGTAGGGAAAAGTTCTAAGACCCTGTACCCAGCCCACCATTAATTAGCTAATATTCTCTCATCTCTTAACTGCTCCATTTTCCTCACCAATATTCCAGAGATGCTTGTAGCTCAATATTCTGCCATCACAAAACCATAAGGAGGTTGGGGCATAGTGGCTGATGCCTTTAATCCTAACTACTCAGAGGCAGAGATGGAGAGGACTGTGGTTTGAGGCTAGCCCAGGCAAAAAGTTAGTGAGACCCTTTCTGAAAAATAACCTGAAGCAAAAAGGACTGGAGGTGTGGTTCAAGTGGTAGAGCACTTACTTAGCAAGTGCAAGGCTCTGAGTTCAAACTCTAGTAGTAGAATTGACCTCAGTGAGGAGCTTGAAATTATTCTCAGACTGGAATTGGACTATCTGGCATTGGTCCTTTTGTTATCTGTCCCAAATGAGTGTCCTTCTAGTGGTTTGAAAATGTTAAAACATCCCTGGAATCTGGATCATACAACCAAGTTCTATAGTGTTCTCACTCTGTCTGTAAAGATTACTTAGAATACTTTAGATTCAGCCAGGTGCCCGTGGCTCACGCCTGTAATCCTAGCTAATCAGGGGGCAGAGATTGGGAGGATCTCTGTTCAAAGCCAGCCCAAGCAAATAGTTCTTAGGACCCTAATCTCAAAAATACCCAACACGAAAAAGGGCTGACAGTGTGGCTCAAGTGGTAGAGCGCCTGCCTAGCAAGCATGAGGTCCTGGGTTCAAACCACAAAAAAAAAAAAAAAAGAAAGAAATACTTTAGATTCAATTAATTTCTGAAAAGAAAGCCTGTTAGCCATATGCAGAATTTCTAATGGTAACGATAACTGTGCAGTTTCTAACTCACTTTTCAGATCAGTTTTTGAAATGGCAAATTATCAGTGTTAGATTTAGTTCCAACTACTTGACTTACAAAAAACGTACATTTCAAAAGAAAGGAGTTAAAGAAACTGAGAAATTTAAAGCTTCAAAATGAGAATTAAAACTCAAAATTGTAGTAACAATTGTCAGAGTCACACAATTGAAAAAATGTATCACCTTTTATCTTTTTTTCTTTACCCATAAAATCGAGTGCATAGAATTTGATGACACCTATAGTGGTCACCTAATGGTGTTTGCGGGCCTGGGTACATGTGCACTTGTCACAGTGACTGGGGCAGCATCTAGTGCCTACTGCCAAGCCTGGTGACATACTGCATGCCAGGGGCAGTCCCAGCCTGTAATGACTCCCAATCACATTGTCCTTCCCCACTGAGAAACTTGTTAAACCTGGCAGTGGTAGAGGTTCCACCTGTAATGCTTTTTTCCCAAACAAAATTACCCAAGTGCAAAAAATGCATTTTCAGAATGACGACACACTAGACAATCTGAATTTTGTAAGTTTGTGGCTTTATCTTGAATCATTATTTGTGGAAATGGTTTCTACATGCTTAAGGTTGCTGGTGGAAACTTTAAGAAGCAGGTAAATTCACCTGGGGGGGAGGGATTGTGCTCATCTTAGTCCGCAATAACCTCTCTGAGGTGGCTACCGTTCTGCAAAGTGGCCAGCTTAAATTAAAGGGCCTTATTCCTAATAATCTTTTTTTAGATAAAATCACATTTTAATATTTTACATGGATAACTATTGGAATGTGGTTGAGGGCACATGGCACACTGTTTTTGATGCTCTGGAAATACTGAACGCTGGTTTTTAGCCAGTTTTTTTTTTTTTAACATACAATGAATTTGTTAGACTTTAACACCAGCTGAGGTATTCAGACTTGATCCCCATTAAAAATCAAAGGAATTGGGGGTAGCTGGGAGCGTTTAGGAGAAATTCAGAACGATTTCTCTTAGTTTTCCTATGTATATAACTTTATTTTTCAAAGTTTTCATAGAGTAGTAAGAGTTGATGAAAGTTTTAAAACTTAGTCTGAGTAAATATTGATACTTTTTTTGGAGTTGTGTTACGCTAGACTTGTAGCTTGAGAAACAAGCAGTCTCACACGCCACATACATAATAGAGCATATTTTTTTTTCTATAATCGGGCACCTTCTTGCTGCTTTCGACTAAGACTGTTTTCCTGTTTAGCTTTGAAGTATTACCAGAGAGAGGATCTGCTGTATTCTTCCCATTGTAGCATAAGCCTGAGAACTCTAGGCACAGTATTTCTGTGATGGAAAATGAGTGTCTATCAGGAAACCTGGGGACTCACCATGTTTTCTCAGACCCCAATTTCATGTACACGCCGCTGCCTATGAGGAACTTTCTGGTGTGTGAGTAATTACTTCAAAACAAGAGTTTCAGGCACTTACATTAGTTATTTTATATTGTGTGCAGAATAGTATTATCTTTTAATTCAGATATGATACACTGCACATACTGCTTTTGCACTCTTAAAATTTTTGTACTAAGTATTAAAAAATATTT